TGTAATTTTTGTAATCTTTATGATCCTCCCTCTGGTTTAGTGACTAACCTGTAAAATACAGAGAAAGGGATGGGAGCTGCTCTGTGTGTCAGTTATGCCATAGAGGAAGAGGGAAAATGGGAGGATTATTGTTTCAGCACAAATGGATGGTCACGATGCAGCAAAGTTATGATGCATTTATAAAGAGACGACTGAAGCATTGATGAAAACGGAGGCCCAGCTTGGAACGGATAAATCCACCTCGTCCATTGCTATTCTGGTAAAATTAGGAGAGAGAATTTTAAAAATAAAAAAAAATTTACTATTTTTTAGAGATTTCTTGTTTTAATTTTTCTTTCTATCCAAATCAAGACGTAGGCAAAGGTTTATTCTAGATACTGGATGGAGTGGAAGTGTTTGGACAGAGAGGAAAATCAAGGGAGAAGAAAAAAATTAGAGGTAAAAAACATAGAGGAAAAATGCTTTTGCCATCCATTTTTTAAAAATTGTCTTTCTTCTTGTTTTATTAATATTTATCTGATGCAAGTTTAGAGAGTGCTTAGTTAAAGAGAAGACTTGAATCATATAGAGAAAAGAGGTGAGAGAAGGATTTTTTTTTTTTTGGTTGAAAGAAGATTTCAATGATATGTTTGTTTTAGGGTAGGAAAAGAGGAATTGTTAACAAGTTAACTTGCTTTTGCTAGATTTGAATTGTTTTCTCTTGGAAAAAAAAATAATCTTCTAGTTCTTATGGTTTTATATGATTATCAATTTAGTTCTTATAGTTAGATTAATATGCAATTTAAACTCTGAATTATAGGTCTAAGAGTGATTTGAACCCTAAACTTTTAAAATGTGAACAATTAAAATTGAGACAATTTCAGTATCACTTTTAAGTTTAAACAAACTTTCATCAAAATAAGGCATAATATGTGATTTTTATCAAATGAGGGTAGAAAGAGAGAGTGATAGTAAAATTTGATAAAAATCATACATTAGGTTTTAATTTTTAAAAAACTTACAAACATTTGTTTAAATTAATGGTGAGACAAAATTATCCCAATTTTAATTGTTTAGAGTTTATAATATACTTTTTAAAATTTTAAGGTTCAAATCGCCTCTCGACCTAATAGTTTAAGGTAATTGCATATTAACCCTTTATAGTTTTAATTTTGTTTAAATCACTCCTTCTACTTTCGGTTGTTAACAGCATTACTTCTCATATGTTAATCAGGTTCAATCATGACATAACAGTGTTAAACTTAAGATGATGTGTTCTAACAAGATCCTAGTTAATATAACAGATTAGATTTGCTTCCAACAGATCACTTCTCTCCTCTCTTCTAAAGCTAGGGTTCCACATTCTCTTCTTTCTTTAACATTCTTTTCGACCTCCGACATCTTTGCAGTGATCCTCCTCTCATTTCTTTGGTGATTCACACATCGTATTGAAGGTGTTTGGTTGTCTACTTTCTTATTTGGTCCCTAATGATTGTCTTTCGGTATTCTGCTCTTCCCTCTTCTTGAATGCTCTTCAAGATTTTTCTTTCTTTCTTTCTTTGTTTTTTTTTTTCTTTTTGTGTACATGGCTTGGTGGCAAGAGTTCAAATGCATTGAAACCCCTCATTTCAACAAGGCTAATAGATTTTTCAGTAAAGCAAGATTTTCATCTTGGTTCTTGTTGAATTGTCCACCCTTAGTGAACTAAAGCTCAATATAAGCCCAGTTATAGTGAGGTTTTATAAGAATGTTAAAGTAGTCTAGGTCTTGCGCCTAATAAAATTAAGGTTAAAATTATAATATTTTCATAGCCATTTTCAATATTGGTTCCTCTATGCAAGAGACATGTTCTTTGTATTAAGTATCAAGTAGGTGGTTTTATGGAAGATAGACTATGGGCAAATCATACAGTGTGTGCGTAACCAAAATCCCCTCTCTTTTCTTTGCTTTCTTCTTGTGCATTTGCTGTGAGTTTACGAACAGAGTCCAACCTCGTGACTTTATTCTCACATTTGGTATTCCATCCAGCACCACACTACAAGTATGTCTTCTTCCTCTAGAATTTATTAACCCCCAGTCCCAACACAATTTCAACTCCAATTTTCAATTAAAATTGAAGTAAAGCTCTCACATGCTCTCTACTCAAGGATAATGCGCCAGAAATAAAGCCAAAGAAACAAAATAAGAGGGTTCCATTGTCACTATTTAAGCCTCTACCACAATTTTCACTCCTCTTCTTCAACGACTTCCCGGTAGTTCTAAATATTTCTTCCTCTACCCACGATTTTGATCTTCAGCGCACGATTCAACAAATCTTCCTCTTCGTCCAATATCGGACCAACTTCAATTGCCAAACTAATGCACAGGACAAGATAACCCTTGAAACTTACTCTTCTCTGTTCTGTGTCTTGCACGACTACTGCCATGGCTCTGTCGGTGCCATCTCTCTTTTTCTACTGGGCTTTCTCTGAAAAATGACTCAGCAGCTTTTAATTTATGACTCTGGGTGTACATGTCATGTATAGTTTAGGAAAAACGAGAACAAAGACTCAAAAGAATTAATTAATTTAATTTAGATTTTAAATTTTAATTTTTAAAAATTTATAAGTTTAAAGAATTATAAATTTATCACAATAAAATTATAAAATTAAAAATCAAACTTATAAATTTTTAAAAATTAAAAATTAAAATTAAAATTAAATTAATTAATTTTTTTAAGATCTTTTTGTCATTCTTTTTAAAATTTAACATTGTTATGTCACGCTGGGACCTCATCAAGACATAGGGAGTAATGCTTTTTTAATGACAGAAAATATAAGGAGTGATTTACAAAAATTAAAATAGCAAGGATCAAATTGCAATTATGCAAAACTATAAGAATTAAAAGATTAGTCTTTTTTTTTTAATTTTTAAGAAAAATTATTTGTTACTCTCTTATTTCACATTTCGATGAATTAATTAATTCTTTTAAAATTATACACTTTCTCCATGTTTATCATTATTTAATAGTGACTTAATTAAAATTTTTTATTAATTATATTTTTTAATTAAAAATATTTTTTTTTAAAAAAAATCTCCTTAAATGCACCTTAAAAACTCAGGTTATATTTTTTTTAATATGTCATCTGTGTCTCTCCATTCCTTTTTTCTTTTTTTATCTTTTTTTTAATTATAACTATTCATTAAATTTATTATTAAAATAAATTTATTTAATAAAATAAATAAATAAAGGAAATAAAAAGGAGGAAGAAGAAATGAAGAGACCCTTCGTCATGGAACTCTCGTGCTCCCATCAAATTTTTTAAAAATATATAAATAAAGGATTTGATGAGAATAAAATATTCTTCCACTCAGCAACTTCGTTATTTTCGTTTTCGCTTTTACACACGCCATCTTTCGCTCAAGCCTCTACTCAGGCGGCGTGTTCTTCATTGTGCTATTCTTCTTCAACTCAGGTCAGTTCTTCTTCTTCTTTATCTTCTTCAACGTTTTTCTATTCGATTTTCTGCTGTTCTGCTATGATTGCTGAACTGCCGTGTTTGATTTTGTAAAATATCAGGAATGGAACGATGATTTGAGCGGTGAATGATTTTGAAGTTTTCAGAATTTTCGAAAATATTTTTAGCCTTGTTTTTCTGTTGTTATAGCCTTGATTCAAACCTGCGGTTTTGATTTCCTCAGAATCGGAAAATATTTCACTCATTCCTGGAACGACGAGGATTTGGCAAATATTTCTATCCTTGATTTTGAAGTGTAATCGTCGATTTTTATTGGCTAGAGTAATTTTCGATTTTGATTGCCTCAGAATTTACTGGGCATTAGTGTAATCTTCAATTACCTTCGTAGATTTTGCTCTTCGATTTTGATTCCGAATGTATGGTCTGATAGGATGGAGTATATATAGTATACTCTGTATCTGAATCTTGGAGTATATATTAGCAGAGACGGATTGCTTCCCCCGATATAACTTTTCTTCGCAAAATGTGTTTATTTTCATTTGTAGCGCATGTGAAAAATTAATTTTGGCCCCCCACTTTCTTGTAATCTGTCATTTTTGGCCCCCAATGTATTAACTTCTAGATCCATCCCTGTTATTATTAGTACTCCCTCCGTTTCTATTTGTTGAAAAATAAACTAGTTTAAGAAAATCGGTTAACTACATTAAATGTGTCTGAAAATAAAAAAATTAAATTACAATATCCTTTATTAATTGTGTTAATCAAACCTTTATTAATTGTTTCTTGTGATTATGAATGATAAAATTATGAGGGGTAATTTAGGAAGTTTGTAATAAATGTCCATTGGAAAATGTGATTTTACTTATATATATATATATATATATAAAGTAAAAGCAATAGTTTCTCTTATAAATAAAAATGGAGGGAGTATATATTAAGAAGTAGTATAGAATAATATATATTGATATTAATTTTTCTCTTGAATTTAGTGCAACCTATTAGTGTATATTATCTCGGCTAGGAAGAAGTTCAGTTTATAAATAATATTAGGCCTAATGTTATATTATCTTTAGTATTCTTTCGTCTCTTTTCTTGATGCAACTCTATGTCCCTGATTGCTAGAAACTTTGGTAGGGAATTTTGCTTCATATAGATATTTGCTATGATTCCCAATGCTAAATTACTTTTTACTGATCTATTGCAATTTTATATCAATGTATAGTTGTGTGGTTTTGGACAGGCCCAGCGGAGGTTGGGGGTCTGAGTAGGGGCCATGGCTTCCCTAAGTTTTTAAATTTTTCTTAGTATTATATAGATATTACATATTTTTGGTCCTCCCAAAACTTATAAAAGTTTTATAGCATATATGTTTTTTAATCTCAACCCTCCTTATTGTTAAATCCTGGCTTCGTCCTTGGTTTTGGATTGTTACATAGATGAACAACTATGATAGTGAAGGATCAATCAAGGATATTGAGGCAGAAAATATGGATTTTGAGTATGAAGTTAAAGAGTTGATTAATTTTAAAGTGGCAAATGTAAGTCCTAGAACCTTGAACCATGTGTTACAAGATTGAGAATGCCGTAGTGTATGTATACTATTGTACAACTTGTTTGTTTCATTGTACATGACTACATGCAATTTATTTGTTGGAAGAGATGTCAAGACTAATTAATAAACCTATAAGTGATGGTAATTTATTTGTTGAAGGATCATAGTTTTTTTTAGTTTGTGGTGACATGTTGGCCTTTTTTGTTTGGAGAACATATACTTTTTGTCATGATGTTTCTAATGCAGTGAACTCCGTCTATGTTTATAGCCGGTCCCAAGCCCGGGTAAAGGAGGAGGGTTGTGTTAGGCCATCAACAGCCAATGTAAAAATTTGTTGAATCTATCATGAACATGGACAATAGACATTGTAAATTTGGTAAAGGACTATTCGAAAATAATTTGGAAGTGAAATTGGGAGATCAAATTATACCTCAAGTGGAAAAGTTTAGATATTTGGGAGCCATTATTCAAAATGATGGCGAAATCAGTGGAGATATTTCACATAGAATTCAAGCTGGGTGGTTTAATTGGAGAAAAGCTAAAGGAGTTATTTGTGACCGTAAGGTGCCTAATAAACTTAAAGGAAAGTTTTATCGTACTGCTATCAGACCGGCAATGTTATATAGTAGTGAATGCTGGGCTCTAACGGGATAGCAAGAGCATAAAGTTGGAGTAGCAGAGATGAGAATGTTACGATGGATGTGCGGACATACACGTAAAGATAAAATTCGAAATGAGCACATACGTGAAAAAGTGAGGGTGGCACCTATTGAGGAAAAAATGGTAGAAAATCGGTTGAGATGGTTTGGGCATGTACAAAGAAGACCAAGGGAGGCACCAGTGAGAAGAGTGGAACATATAACTTTGAGTCCGACTAAGAGAGGTAAAGGAAGGCCTAAGAGAACACTCTTGGAAGTTGTTGAACGTGATTTCTTAATTAATAATATTTCTAAAAGCTTAATAAATGATAGAGCACAATGGCGTCTTGCAATCCATGTAGCCGACCCCACCTAATGGGATAAAGACTTGTTGTTGTTGTTGTTGTTGTTTCTAATGTAGTGACATGTTGGTCTTTTTTGTATAGGGAATATAAATCTTTTGTCATGATGCTTATGATGTATTAACAAGTTGACCTTGGTGTTTATAGTATTTCATGATCAAGGTGTTGGAGATTTTGTTTGTATAAGTACTTTGATTAATCTGAATAGTATGTGACATTGTCCTTTTATTAAGTTTAATAGTGTTGGAGATTTTGTTTGTGTAAGTAGTATGAAATGTGTAACTATAAATACCTTGGAGTGGGAGTGTATGGACAGAGGAAAATCAGAGGCAAATAAATATTTACTCTAATCTTTCTCATTTTCTTTTAGATTTCCCTCAATCCAAGTCAAAATTAGTAAAAAATAATAATAATAATAATAATAAGAAAATGCCTTTTCCATTTATTCTTTTTTAAATTTTCTTTCTACTGGTTTTATTATTTATCCAATGTAAATTTAGGGTGTGTTTGGTTAATGGGAAAATTGGAAGGTAGAGAAGAACAAAAAAAATTGGAGATGGGTTTCAGTGATCGTGTTTAAATTGACAGGAGGGGATGTAGGAGAATGATTTTAATGATATGTTTCGTTGAGGACAGGAGGAAGGAGTAACTAATAAGTTAACTATTATATTTTTATTATGTTAGAGTTGTTTTCTTTTTCTTATTTTGATTTTTGGGAAAAATAATTGTATTACAATTTTTAATTTCTTTCTATTAAAAATGTCCAAACTTTTATTTTCCAGGCTGTAAAAATCTCATATATTATTTATTATATTTTCCATTGTTATATTTTCTGAACAAAAATATTTATTTAATTTTACATTTTTGAAAATGAGTGCACACATTTAAACTCAGTAGTCACTAGTGAAGCAAAAACACAAATGAGAGGACTGCTTAATTATAGTATTTAGTTAAAATAAAACACATTTAAGGTATTTAAAAATTTTAGGGATAATTTAACTTTTAGTCTTTCAAGTTTGTCTTAGTTATTGATTTAGTCTTTAGGGATAGGGCTCATCCAAGGGTGGCATGGAAGGGTGCTTGTCCCCCACACTTCAATCTTCCTTTGGAAAAAGTTGGGAATTTTATTTGTAAAAAAATTTACTATAGATTTTGGCCCCCACTTCACATTTTATTTTTCATTTAGCCCCCATTCATTATTTTCTGAATCCTTCCCTGGTCAGGGACAGGGACAGGTCCAAGTGGGGGCAAGGAGAGGTGCTTGCCCCCCACATTTCAATCATCTAATAGAGCTAGTAATTCCCAAAATATTTGAACATCATTTCCTAAGATCTATGGTAGAAAATCTAGGAAGAAAAGTGATTTAGAGAAGACTAACATTAGTAGTCAAGAGATTTATCCCAAGATTTATAGCTGTAAGATTAAAATGGTAAAAGACAAATCAGGTTAGACGTAGCCAGAGGTAATGGTAGTGTTGTAGGGGTAATGACTACTTTTTTGCTATATAAATCTTTCCTTTCATCTAGGGAGGAGGAAGTTCAGTCTTTTCAAAATTGAGAGTAGTGAGATGAGTTTTGGCCTGTCAAACGCTAGATTGGGTGGAAGAAGAGCATTTTTCATCATTATTTTCTCTTTCTGTTCTATTGTCCTTGTAGTCTGTAACTGTATTTGATTTAGTTTAGTGTATGGCTGTATGAGGGTGATGTGGTTAGCTTGAATTGTTATTTCCCTCGTAATCCAACTTTATTATTCAATAATGAACTCATCCATCCCACATTACTAGTCTATTTCTGATTTTTGTTTGATATAAGCTAATAAGAGTCGAGGGTTCTATTATCATCCTTTGAAAAATATTTGAATTTTTATTTGTAAAAAAATTTAAAATTGATTTTGTCCTCCAACTTAACATTTTATTTTCAATGTGGCCACATGGATTAGCTCTTGGATCCGTTCCTGGTCTGGGATAATATGCCATTACAATATGAGTGATTTCTGTTTAGCTCATGTCTAGTTCCACCACATATCTAATTCCACTCAAGTCTATTTGTTGGGTTTTGCAATTTTGCAGCGGTTTTGCTTTTCCCATCAGTCCTGCCTAGACTGTAATCCATGGCATCAGAAGGTGGTCTAATCAGGTACGTTCATTCTTACTTTTGGAGTCTGCACATATCAGATATCAGTATTACAGTTTTAGAAATCTACTAACCGAGAGCATTTTACAAATGATGATTGCTTCATCCTGATCCCAGCATATCAACATACTATATTAGATTTATGAGTAAGAGTAAGAGGTGAAGAGGTTGGAGTCAAATATAGATATCATTATTCATATATCGATAGAGTTTTACTTATGTTCAGTTATTCTCTGAAATGAAGCAGATTGCATCCTTAATTATTTGTACATGGTCTCTATGTGCTGCTTTCTTTTACTTCAGAGATCTGATCTCTAGCTTTTGACAATTTGCGTCCCTTAACCTTTTTGCACATGCTGTTGCAACGAACCTTGTGCAAAGTACAAGGTTAAAGGACACAAATTGTCAATAGCTGGAGATCCTGCAAGTTTGGTGAGATTAGATCTGCTAACGTTTTCAGTTTGAAAATTTCATTTGAACTTGTGATCATTTTATATATATTGCAAACCTTTCTTATTAGATCATGTAATATATTAAGAAGATTAGATTACCCATTGAAGTACAATTTGTCTATACATTTTTTGAGGAAATAATTAATATCCTTATCATGTAAAAATGGAATAAGAATCAAGATACATATGCGTCAGTTGTTCTCTTCTAGGATACAACCCTTTTTTTTTTTTAATTGAGAATAAAACATTCTTTGCATAGGGCACATTCTATGAGATCGACAGTGGCACCAGAGGATTCCAATGTGAATCAACAAGGTAATTATTCCATTACTTCCCAATTTAATAAGTAATAATTATTACTGTTTTTTCATGTTATGTTTAGTGCTACAACTTTGATGTATGGTTTTAGGATCCTAAAATAACATGGCATTGTGATTTTAGGCGATTGCCTTAGGCCCACCTAAAGATTGTATGTGCCATCATCAGATTCGGAATTTTTAATTTTATTAAGAATAAATATTTGGTAACTCCGCCTATGTTTATAGCCAGTCCCAAGCCCGGGTAAAGGAGGAGGGTTGTGTTAGGCCATCAACAGCCAATGTAAAACTTTGTTGAATCTATCATGAACATGGACAATAGACGTTATAAGAGCACAATGGCGTCTTGCAATCCATGTAGCCGACCCCACCTAGTGGGATAAAGGCTTGTTGTTGTTGTTGTTGTTGTCGTTGTATTAAGAATAAATATTTGGTGTCATATAGGTTGATGTTAATTATGTTAGTAAGATCCTATGATCTAAAAATATGCATGTAGATCAGTTGATGTCACTACGGAATCATCTAAGGAGCGTTTATTGCAAGGAGATGTCTTTTCATATGCTATGGATTGTGAAAAAAAATGATTATTGAGATAGAGCTAGAATTGGGCTAGAAAAATTTATATGGAGAGCCTAAGTTTTGTGAAAAGAATTAATTAATAGAAAAACATTTTGGTGAAGATGTTAGTAATGAGATTATGCATTTAGCTGAAGATTCATTTTGAATTAGATAAACAAAGTATCTAAGATTAACTTGTGGATGCAGACATTGATCAATCAGAGGTCGAATTCAGTGATTTTCAACCAGGCCTCGGCAAGCAAGCTGCCAAACTAGGGGATATGGTAGTATTCTTTCTTGGAAAAATTGGCATGGTCCACGGTCCCTTGTAGGCTTTGTTTCAAAATTTGGGACTTATGCCCAAATATTTAAGCCTTTTGGTCCTTGTGGCCAATTTTTCCTTCTTTCTTTTTCCCCTTTTCTCAGATGCTTCATTGTCGTCCTTCTAGTTTGCTACTCGTGATCTCTATGGATTTAAATTAATATGTGGTTCTGCTAATGTTATTCTGTTCAATTTTCAATTGAATGTAATGTATATATTGTTCAATTATAGGTCAGAATCAAGTATCAAGAGTTAAGTAATACTGGTAAAGTTAAAGTTGAAAAGGGCCCTGTGACACTGAAATTGGGAGAAAACAAATATGGCCAGGGTATGAATTCTGCTGCTGCTGTTACTACTGCATTTATAGTAGACCAAGTTTCTTCGATGATTGGTTGAATGTTACATACTGGTTGAATGTTATATACTTTGTGTTTTATTAAAAAATATGACAATAAAAATAAGGGAAAATGACAAAAAATACACCTTAAACAAAATGACAAAAAATACACCTTAAACATTCAAATGACAATAAGCACCGTGAAATATGTTAGTTATTGTGTAGTCCCTAGAGACTTGTCTGACATTTTGGTTTTTTGCCAAATGACATATTTACTCTGAATTTAAAATTTTCTAAGAGGCATTTGTCCTTTGCTTAGTGACCTTTTCATACAAAGTAGTCATTTTCCAATCTTAAGTAGTAATTGCATTTTAGTAGTTGGAGTTGACTGATAGACAAAAATGACAGAAAGGAACTTGTCATTTTCTATTTTGTTTTAGTTAATAGTCCAAACAAAATAGTCACTGATTTTTTTTTTTTATGTTGGACTTGATTGATAAAAAAACTTTTACTGAGGCACTTGTCATTTGCTATTTAGCTGTTGTCACTTTTCCAAACGAGGTAGTCATTTCCTGATTGTAACATGTCATTGACTTTTAGCTCTTGGACTTGATTTATAAACAAGGAATTTACAGAAAAACAATTGTCATTAGCTACTCAAATGATGTCATTTCTCCAAACAAAGTAGTCATTTTCCAATTGTAACTAGTAATTATTTTTTGCATTTGACTGATTGACAAAATTGGCATAAAGGAATTTATCATTTTCTATTTCGTTTTAGTCAACCACCAAAACAAACGTAGTCACTGATTTTTTTAATAGTTATTTTTCGTTTTAAATTTTTAGTTGGGGGCAAATATATCATTTTGTAAAAAATGAAATTGTCAAACAAGTTCTTAAGGATTACATCACATTTTGCAGTACTTATTTATCACTTGCATAATGTAGGGGTATGTCAATATATATATTTTGTCATTCTCCCTAATTTAGCCAAGTGAAATTCATTTTTATGACAAACTCTTGTATAGAGAATCAATTTCATTGATCGTGGAGCTGATTATTATCCTATTCTCAATTAGGAATTGACCAAGGGATCATTGGAATGAAGTCGGATGGGGCTAGAAACTCAAAATCCCCCTAGATCTTTGGCCCCCAAGCAAATGGCGAGTAAGTCTTTTATATCAACAATGTTTTTCAAAATTCTAGAGCATGGAATTTTTCCTCATTTAACTTTCCTGAGATTTTTCCCCTATTAAAGGGCAAATTCTACATGTTGTTAGTAAAATAGATTATTTTATATATGGGCCCTTAACAAAGAAATTTCTTTCATTTGAATTTCTTCTTAAAAAGTTTGGTTGATGATAGAGTATAATGATGTTCTGCAATCTATGTAGCCAACCCTACCTAGTGGGATAAGGCTTGTCATTCATCATCGTTGTCATGGCTATAATTTGCAAGTCATGACTTAAATTGTAGGATCTTTTAACCTAATTGATAGACGTTAAGAGAAGTAGTTACAATTTATGTCTATATAAGACAAGGCTTGTTATATAGCACAATGACATCGTGCAATTTATATAATTGAGCCCATGTAGCAAGGCAAGGCTTGTTGTTATATATCATACAAGCAAGGGGAAGGAAGAAAAATGAGCAAATATAAAGGAAATACTTATGCATGTACTCAAATTATAAATTATGAAATAAGCATGAACATTTTGTATGACTATGATAAAATATTGATGGACATTACCTTTTTAACTATTTATTATTCTTTTGAATTTAAATATTCTTTTTTAATATTATGGATGATTATTTCTTCTTATTTTTAAGCACATATTGTCTAAAATATATTAATTGATTTATGGTTAGTTTGATTATGGTCCAATTATTGAACCATGCAAGCTTAATAAATGATAGAGCACAATGGCGTCTTGCAATCCATGTAGCCGACCCCACCTAGTGGGATAAAGGCTTGTTGTTGTTGTTGTTGTTGTATTGAACCATGCAACCAATGTCTCTACTACCAGTTCAATTATTAATCCAATTTTCTTAACATGAAAAGAACCATATAAATTTGGAAAATGAAAATGAAACGGAGAGAGCAGAAACGAAAGACGCATAATGGAGATGAAACGGAAAGAGCAGAAACGGGAGACGCATAATGGAGCATAATAAACTCTTTGTAACCTCCCCTTAATTTTTATAACTTTCCTTTTAACTTGTAAGCTTCAGTTTTCACCAGAGCTATAAATAGGGCCCTTTGGTTGTGTAAGGAGCTCAGACTTGAAAAGAATAAAATTGCTTGTTTTCATTCGGTTTCTGTGCCAGAAAAGCATGAGACCGACTAGCAATTGTACCTTTGGTAGTTTACATTTAGTAGTTTCTTTTGACAGCTAATAATTTTGGCATGGGTGTAAATGTTTAGCTTTTGAAGCAAAAGTTTGGCCTGGGCTCCAAGGGTAAAAAGAAATTTCGTGTGTACCTTCTGAAAGTGGGGTAGGAACTTCAGATTTCATGACCATTGGGATATGGGCACTTTCTCTCACAATTGTTGGAATTCAATTGCGGCAGTGCTGAATTTTGTTATGAGTCTCTCTTGAATTTTTAATTGGATTTACTATTGATACTTTGTTTTAGATTAGCCCTTGTTTAAATATACTAGTACGCTTCATATTGTTTTGTTTGTATTGACATTTGTATTTTATTCTATGTATTATGATTCTGTTATCTTGGACTATATTTTCGTCATGTACTTCAAATTGTCAAGACTTGGATGAAACCAATGTTCATGTTAATATAGATATCATTGCCTTAGGCCCACCTAAGGATTGTATGTGCCACCATCAGATTGAGAACGTTGAATTTCTACTAAGAATGAATATTTGGCATCATATATTGGTTGATGTTAATTATGTTAGTAAGGTCCTATGATCTAAAAATATGCATGTAGATGTCACTACAGAGTCATTTAAGGAGCATTATTGCAATGAAATTGTCTTTGCATGTTTTGGATTATGAATAGAATTGATTATTGAGATAGTGCTAGGATTGGTCGAGAAAATTTTATATGGAGAGCCTAAGTTTTTTTTTTTTTAAAGCTTAAATTAGTAGAAAAAACATTTTGTCGAAGATGCTAGTAATGAGCTTATACATTTATCTGAAGATTCTTTTTGTATTGAATAGAACAGTATTTTTGGTTAACTTGTGGATGCGCACATTGATGAATTAGAGTTCAATGAGCGAGCTGCCTGATATATCAATGGGTGTGCGCGCGCGTCGGGTAATATTTCTTTTTTCCTCTTCTCAGTTCCAAGTGTGGTTTCAGTGCTCATGAAGTGTGAGCACCACGATAACAGTGATGAAGTGAAAATTTGTTTTGGTGCTCATTTGTGTTGATAAGTACATTTAGTTGGTCCAATTTTTTTTTTTCACTTTTGTATTTTTTTAAAAAGAAATTTTTTAATGGATATAGAATTTAAAATAAAGATAATTGAGCACCATGATAACAGTGATGAAGTGAAAATTTGTTTTGGTGCTCATTTGTGGTGATAAGTACATTTAGTTGGTTCAAATTTTTTTTTACTTTTGTATTTTTTTAAAAAAATAATTTTTTAATGGATATAGAATTTAAAATGAAGATAATCTTTTAATTATCATATTTGTCATCCTTCTAGTTTGTTACTCTCGATCTCTAGAGAATTTAAATTAATGTGGTTCTGTTAATATTATTTTTGGGCAAGTTTCAATTTTTTAAAAATGTAATTTTAATAAATTTCACTTTTAATTTAATCTAATAAAAATTTAAAAGTATTTTTAAAATATTATGAGAAAATTGTTATAATATCCCTCATTGGGAGGGAAATTGTTTAGAGGGATGAAGACTAATTTAAAGATTAAATGTATATCAGGTCTATCAACTTGCACACTATGCCTATGATCTTGCCCAACAAAGTTACATGTTGGCCTTAAAAAATGTTATGTAATTTACATGGTGGTCGAAACAATCTATTGTGTATGTTATTATTTTCTTATAGATTGTCACTTTCAAGGTAATAAATTGTATTTTCATGAAATTTATACCTTTATGATGTGCAAAGTGATAGGTATGATGTGCAAAGTGATATGTTTGACGTAGAAGGTGCAAGGTGATATGTTTGAGTTGCGAGGTGAAAAGCTTGAGGTGCATTTGGTCTTTAAATTACTCTTGGTTCTCAAGACAATTTCCTTTCCAATGAAGGATTTTATGGCAATTGTCCCAAATATTAATATGCATTTAAAGTACAAATCACCACCATTCTATCTGATGCCCCCCCAAGTCTATCACTATTTCCAAGCACATCCATGTGGTTAAAGCTAGTTCAACGAAATATCAAAAAATAAGTAGTGAAAATAGAAGCATTGTAAAGTTTAACTTAACTGAAGATGTAAATTACTATAAAAATATAAACCATACCGTAATTAGGACATAAAAGATAATAAAAGCAATTATCAGAACGAGGATAAAACAAAAATATGAACATGAAATTAGTCCTTTCAATCGTATGTAATAAAATTTGAAGAAAATAGAAATTAACAAAAAGCTTTTTTATGGTACTCAGTCACATTCTGAAAGTTTTGGTGGGAGGGGAAAGTTTTCTTCCACACAAAATGACCCCTCTCACGTATGCTTAAGTATGAGTATCAGTAAAATGAGTGGTATTATTATTTATGTCAGTTGTAATTTATTCACTTTTAAAGATTTTCAATTTATAAAATAAGAGATAATATAACTTAATTCTTAAATGTCTCTATTATTAATTTAGTTTTTGAATTTTGACTCAAAAGCCAATCCTTGTAGTTTATTAAGTTAAAAAATTAGAGTAATTGAATTATTTCGAGTTATAAAATTACAAGGAGTTAGTTGTTTCAAGTCAAAAAAACCATTAAAATTGAGATATTTTGAGTTAAAATTTAAAGATTAAATCGATAATTAAAAAAAAGTTATGACCTTTAGAGTAATCATCCTTCTATATTAAAAATTTTAAATACTAAAATATCATTTGCTCAATTAACAATGCTAGGAAGAGAGAGAAGAATGATAGCAGTAACATATTGTTATGATTAGAGTTGGTAATTTGGACATTGGATCAAGCTCAATTTCAAATGAATTTATTTGGGTTGAGCTTAAATACACGAACATATAAAAAAGTTCATATAACCTTATCCAACCCTAGCACCTCAGCCTTTCATACTCATTTGGGCCAATTCAAATACTTGAATTGTTATAATTTTTTTGAATTTTCCTTTTTTAGCTAATTTCATTTTTTACCTTAAAAAATTAAGATGTTTCAAGTAACATAATATTGCAACACACCATTTGTTACCCTTATCAATGTGAGACCAAATATTGAAAGAGTAAAAATGAAAATATATGGAGTAACTTTTTTGTCTTAATTCTTCCTTAACATTTTCCAAAAAAAAAAAATCAAAGCAAACCGCTACTATAACATTGAAACTTCAATTAGAAGTATGAAGTGTGTGAACTAGGAATTTGGAAAAAGGTTTATTATTGCAAAGTTAAGGCTAAAATGAAGGCCAATTTCATTTTGTTAATAAAAAGTTTGAGTATTTCGGCCAAGCTTGTTTATGTTCAAGCTTGGCTAGAATTTGTTTGATCTTATTCAGGTGGCATATGAGCGCCTTTTAAGATTTGCAGCCATCACAAAACCATGAAATTTCATTGTAAACAAGCGTATAATAATTGAAAGTTTAGACCAATCATTACAACCTTCCCACAAGAGTTGTCGTACAGCATACGGCATGTCATAAAGTGAATGCGCTTTAGGATTTCATGCCTCATTTACATTGTGATTGTAGTTATCCTTGAAGCTTAGCCTTCTTATGTAACATCTATAAAATTCATTTAAGGATTTAGCTGTTAGATCAAGCAATTACATCTAAAAGGTGGAGTAAATTGGTTGTTTAGCAAATTTTTGACTAAGACTAAATCTTTCACAAAACTTTGCTCAATTGAAGGTGCAACTTGAAGTTTATCAATAGTGTAATAAATTTCAAATACGTCAGTTGCAAGAGGATTATAAAACACTTGATAGGAAATGAAATAAATTCAAATACGGTTAGTGCTAGATGAATCGCAGTGCATGACACAGAATTTTAGATTTAAGTTCATGATTCAGCTCGTGAAAATAGGGAAGAAAAGAGGAAAAAGAAGCTCAAGCGTGGATAAAAGAGGGACCTCTATTAGGGCAACCATTTTCAAGAGCAATGACGACATTTCTAACCTATTGCTTATCAGGTAAGTTTTGTATTGTCTTAACTTTTGATTTTACCCCATTTTCTTAGTTTAAACTATTGAGAAATTGAATTTGAAAGTTTTAAGAAATTAATTTCGTACCCTACAGTAATAAAAAAGTTCTCTAGAGTTAAAGTAGGATTTTGTGATTGGTTTACATTGGAACGATAAAGTTTTGAAGCTGTGGGCTCAAATTAATTAAGTTTCGAAGGAGAAAGTGGGTGGAGATTTGAGAATAAGTGTATAGATTCTTACGACTAGTGGTGATTGAGTGTAGAAGGCGGAAATAAACTTGAATAAGGTAAATGATAATGTTTAAGTGTTAATTATTAAGAATGGCATTGTTAGTCAGTAAGGTAATTGACCCTGGATGCCTTAATTGTGTAGATTTAGTGCATAATGTGTGGGAACAGCTAAAGGAACTTGAGTAAGGGAATGTGTGATGGGTAACCTTTCTTCAGAATAGAAGGATTGAAATAATCAGATAGTTTGTTATATTTATTAACTATTGTAACTGTGTAGAAGTAAATATAAATTGTGATTTTTATGTTTATGAATTTTTCGTGCATGATTTTACAATATGAATGTTTTGGAATGAAAAGTGGTTGTTGAAATGCTTGCATGAATAAAAACTAGTTTTTCAAACGAGATGGATATATATATATATATAGTGTGTGTGTGTGTGTTAAATGTGGAAGAGTGGTGAATTGTGTGAAAGCATGACCATATGGAGTTAGAGTTCACCCAGTGTATATTTAGATGTTGTGCGTGTGAAGAAGTAAGTGAATAAATTCATATAGTCAGGCCAGTATTATGGGACATCTAGTGCATCAAATTATATTGGGCTGGCACCATGGGACATCAAGTGTAGCGATAAATTAGGATTGTTACCATGAGACATTCGAGCAGTTTGGCAGCTCCCTAGTGCCCATTAACATTACAGCAAAATATGAATTTTAAATCCACATAGTTAAACCGATTAATGCTCTAACGGTTTAGAAATGGAGGGCGGTGGCATTCTCACAAACAAAAGAGATGTTCAGATAACTTATAAACTAGTTAAGAAAGGAACTAGTTTAGAAATAAATATCTAAACTGGTTATAACGTAGAATCGGTTTAGATATGTGTTTTACATATTATTTTTTTTAATATTCGATACCTAAACCGGTTATGACATAGAACCGGTTTAGATATGTAATTTACATTTTAAAATTTTTTTAATAAGTTATATCTAAATTGGTTGTGTCATATAACCGGTTTAGATATTTATTTATAATTTTCAAACATTACTTGTTTTTAAACATAAGGCACGCAGGCATTAGTTTTTTCCCCCTTCTCCTTTCTTCTCTATTCAATGGCTTTGAAAAATCCAAAGCAAAGAAAGTGCGAGAGAGAGCTTCGAACCATAACCTCTGTGTCTTCACTGATCCTATCAATGTTGTTCTTTCCATCTATTACTAGAGATTGTGGGTGCATTGGATTTGTTTTTGTTGCTTTCATTTTTCTGCTGTGCTGTGTTTGGCCAAAGTTTCATCTCTTGTAAAGCTTTTGCTTCTCTAATTGTGGGTGCCAAGAACATCAAAGTTCTCTCCTTCCCTTGCCAGTTTCGTCTCCTGTCAATCTTTGCTTCAAATGGTTCAAATTTTCCTCTATAATATTCTATGCCGTGAGCCCTTTTTCTCCTCTTCTTTTGCATTAATGGTGATTTGAGATAGGAGTTTCAAGTGTGCTTCCTCGTGTGGTTCTATATGTGTATGCATATGTGTTTAA